CTTTCATTTCAAATAACATCATAATAATTTGATGGGTCATGATGGTTTTTACTCAATAGAAGACCGGGTTGGTTTTTTTTTTTCGTAAAAAATATTTAAATTGTTATCAAATAGGAAAATTGAATAGGGAAATACCATTGCCCCATTTAATTTATTGTTAGTGGCCAAAGTTGACTAGAAAAGATGATTCCACCATAATGGTCGTCACTAATGTACGATGGGAGTCGATAACAAAGCTTTGGAGTTTGGTGGGTACAAGAAAAAATGATAATGGTCGTACCCAATGCACAAAAGGAGTCGATAGATAAGGCATATGATAGAGTACCTAGGGAGATAGGTAAATTTTAGAGAAGAAGAGAGTTACAACAAATAGATATATTGATACGATTAAAGCTATATATAAGGATGTAGTGACCTTAGTTTGAACAATTGCAAGAGAAAGTAGTGAATTCTCAATTACAGTAGGCCTACATCAGGGTTCCATTTGAAGTTTTTATCTTTTACCTTAATTATGAATGAATTGACTAGACACATTCACAAAGAGGTTCCATGATTTATATAATTTGCTGGTGATATAGTATTGATTGATGAAATTAAAGTAGGAATTAACAAAAAACTAGAAGTTTGAAGAGAAACTTTACAATCAAAAGGACTTAAGATAAGTAGAAATAAAACCGAATATATAGAATGTAATTTTAGTAATAATAAAAACCTAAATAGGAAGGTAGAGATCGAAAATCAAGATATACTCAAGAGCCAACATTGTAAGCATTCGGGGTCAATTATCCAGGGGGAGGGCGAGATGGGAGACAATGTTAATCTTATAATTAAAACATGATGAATTAAATGGAAGAATGCATCTAGTGTATTGTGTGATCTACGTATAACTCTTAAGTTTTTTTTTTTTTTTTGATCAAGATAAAAGAATATACATCTAAAGTTGAAAGTTAAGTTTTATATGATAGCCATTAGATCAATAATACTTTATGTGACAGAATGGTGGGCAATTAAGAAACAACACGCTCAAAAACTAAATTTTGCAAAAATAAGAATGTTAAGATGAATGTGTGATAAACAAAAAAATATAGAATTAAAAATGAGTATACTCATAAAACCATAGCAGTAACATCAATAGGAGATAAATTAAGAGAGAATCGGCAGAGGTGGTTTGGACATTGATGTGGGAGAAAATTAATTACTGAGATGGGAAATCTCTAGCAACGCTCCATCTTTTAAAATATCACTGCTGGCAGATTGGTAGAGCTCTAGCTATACTGTGAAAGCTTGAAGCAAGCCCAATCTTAGTGATCAAGTTTCTCCCTACCTAGCAAGCACATGAAAGGGATCATGTGGCTCACGTTATCTACAATTCAAAAATCAAAAGGCCCCCAAGATAAGGTCCACAACACGCCTATAGGAGACAAATAGTTAAAAGGCGGACATTCCGCAAATCAAAGGACTCCCTGCCTTTTTATCAAGCCTATATAGGATTAAAAAGACTCTCCCATAAAGAGGAGTTCTTCCCACCATTCGAGAAGATAGACTCCAACCAAAAAGAGAGTTCTGTAAAGATAAGGGATATTAGACTCCAAAAAAAAAAGAAGACGTAACATCCCAAAACAAACAGAGGAGCCTATAGTCCATTCCTCACCCAATAAACATCTAAAACACTATAAAAGGGAGTTTGGGGGAAGACCAAAGGTACGCAAGAACTTTCCTAGCAAATACCTTAAGATCCCTTCCAATAACTACTAACTTAAGCATCAGAGGGTCGACCCCCGGAGCTCCCCCCTTCGGTCTTTGACTTCCCTTTCAGGTCTTCTAGGTTGTGGAACCCTCACTTGAAGTTCTAGAGAGCCGAACCAATGCTACGCTGATGTGCGATTCACTAAAATAAAAATTATAGATGGTGACTAGCAGATCATACATGTAATCGGAGATGATCCCTCAAGAGAGAAAAATTCGTAAGGGATAAAAGAAGGAAACAACCATGATAGAGAACCCCCACGGGCTAATAGATCATAAGAGACTCAAAGAGTACTCAACTTAGAGAGGAACTACGAAAGACTAAACCAAACCATTGAACGTTTGGCTCAACAAATCCTTCAAGCCCTCGATGGCCAACATTAGCAGCACACAACAAACCTCTAGCCATAACGATACTCTTCACCAACAAGAGGTGAATGCATATTTGGACCAAAAACTCAAGTAAGTCAACGATTGAATTGGCGATGTTATGAACACTGGCAAAGCCACAACTCCAAAAATTGTGGAAAATTTGGTCCAATGCCTAGAATCCACTTTTTCACATGATGTCACACACTATCCATTCCCATCAAAATTCAAATTGCCTTCAACAGATAGTTTTGATGGAAAAAAAAAAGATCATTTGGACCATTTGAAAGCGTATAAACCTTTGATGTTACTCCACAATGTTCTAGATCAAGTTATGTGTAAAGCACTCCCTACCACCCTCAAGGGACCAACCCATCTTTGGTTCAATAGACTCCCTTTGTGGTCTATTAGGTTTTTTATGGAACTTAGCAAATCATTTCTTTAACATTTTATTGGAGGAAGAACACATAGGAAGCATGCCACCTACCTTTTGAATCTCAAGCAAATGAAGGGAGAATCACTTCCACAGTTCATGACAAGGTTCACAGAAGAGTCTTTACAAATAGACAATGTTGATGACAAGGTAGCCCTTGACTGCCTTCATGGGAGGAATTTAGCCCTCTAAGTTCTTGTTTTCACTTTGTAAGACTCCACCTATAAAAATGGTAGATTTTTTTTTCTAGAGGTCAGTGCCATATGAATGTGGAGGACGCCTTGAATGCCAGAAAAGGAGTGGCGGACCGTCCCTCCAAAAAGAAGCGAAAAAATCAGGAGAAGCCTGACAAGGCTAACACTTTCAAAAAAAAAAAAAAAAGAAGATAGACCATGTACCTGCAAGAGAGAGGTTAGGACCTTAGTCCCTGTTAGGAAGGTATCAAGGTTATACCCTTCTCACTACCTCAGTTGAATAAGTTCTTTTCCAAATACAAGACAATAATGTACTAAAATGGCCTACAAAGCCAAAACACTTCCCCAAAAATGGGCAAGAGATAAGTTTTACTAATTGAATTGTGATCATGGCCATCACACAGAAGATTGCATCATCCTTAAGGATCATATTAAAAAAGCTAACTCGACAAGGGCATTTGAATAAGTTTGTGGACATAAATTAGAAAGAAGATAGAACTCCTCCTACAGAACCTCGCGAGCACCAACAACAGCTAGGGGAGACAAAGGTCATCTCTGAAAGCTTAGCAAGAGGATAAAGTAGCTTTGCCAGGAGAGCATACGCCGGAAAAGCCCAATCACATGCTTAAGAGATCAGCTTAGTACATCTAGGAAAGGTACCCCCAAAATGCCCATCTGTCACTTTTACGAATTAGAACCTCAAAGGAATTCGCTTCTCTCATGATGATCCACTAATAATTTCTATTATCGTTTCAAATAATACTATACAGAGGGTCCTAATTGACAATGGTAAAGTAGCAGGCATAATCTTTGTCAATGCCTTTAATCATCTGGATATTGAAGGATACAACCTTAGACCAGTTAGAGCTCATCTAGTCGATTTTTCAAGAGAGAAAAACCTATCCATTAGGAGCTATATCCATCCTTATCACATTGAGTAAACCTCTTCACCAGGTTACCTACTTTGTGGATTTCTTGGTAATGGATTGTCCCTTTGCCTACAACATCATTCTAGGACAGTCGACCTTCAATGCACTAAGAGTAGTACCTTTTACATATCATCTACTCCCTCATTTATCTACCAAGGACGAAGTAGGTGAGGTAAGGGAAAATCAGGTCATTGCTAGC